AACTCGAAAGGCGAGGCTTCACCACCCATTTATCCCTCCACCTTTCAACCAGCACCACATGTGATTATCGGCCAGGCTGGCACAATTAACTAACTTACACGCCTTCCAGGCAGGTGTCAGGGCAGACAGTGTTCCATCTCCCCATGCCAACCCCAACTCTGCTCACGTGGCAGGCACCTTCTGGGCCCTGCAGTCTCTTGCTTATGGGGTGGGCTCACTTTGGGGTACCCTCCCCCAGCACGCACTAAGCCTGCTTCCTCTCTGCCCCTGGGCCTCAGAAGCAGAAGGCCACCCGAGTGGTGGGCCCTGGGAGGTCCCTGGCCATGATCCCATGGAAGTCAGCAGTTGTCTGATGACTTACCCCAAATTCAGCCCTATGCAGCCCCTGACACAGCCTGCCCAGCAAATTGCTTCCAGAGCAGGTACTGGACACAGCCAAGAGACTGGTGGAGAGGCCAGGTGGGAGGGGCAGGCACATCTCTTCTCCGCTGGCCTCTGGAGCGCCAGGTGTACCTGGCAGCACCTACACACCACCCTGTGGAGAGCTGCAGAGAGCATCCCTCGCCATCCTCTCTCAGTGGCCTCATTAGCCGGCTGGCCTCCAGGCTCTTTAGCCGAGCACAGGGACACAGCCCAGAATGCCCAGCCAGGCAGAGATGCGAGCACCAGCCCAGACCACACAGGGGTCAAGGCACTACATCACCCAGCAGACAGAGGGACAGTGTGTCCAGGCCACATGAGGGGCCACTGGCAGGGGTGCAGCTGAGAACTCAGCTCCGGGACTGCGGGTCCCCAGCTTTGCTCCAGCTGACCACCCCCATGCCCACTCTCTTCCCCTCTGGCCACCAGAGAGGTGGTGAGATACGCAAAACATGGAATTCTTCCTGTCGTGTAACCATGCTCTGCTGTCCACGGGTTTCCAGTGGCTCATTTCTAGAGGCAGAATCACTAGGCCTTTCTTCCTCGACTCTCTTAATTTGGAAGCTCTGTGGAGGCCCGATCCGAGGCTCAGCC